TCTCTAAAAGTGTCCTCCTACTTGTCCACCTTTTCGATATTTTAAAACAAATCTGTTAATCTCTCTGTATTCAGATCTCCCGTGCCGAACTGTTACGCGTCATGTGACGGTACAGTTGGGAAACACGAGATTAGTGATGCTAGATGTATTACAGCCGTTTTCAGTGGATTTGCAACTCGTAACGTGCGAAGAAAGGAGTTCTGCTGACAGCGGACAGAAACTATGGAATATGATTGACATGGCGGAAAATTAGCGGAATTGTAATTAATTATTAATTTTGTTTAATTTGTATCTTGTTCTAAATATTTTAAGTTATTAAAGAAATATTGTCGAAAACTATTAAAAACATTGCTTGCTGTGAAACGTTTGTATCGGCAGTATATCTATTGCGTATACAGATATATTCCCATTTTCCCCCCCCACAATCAATGTTGTGAATCATTTTTATTCTTGGCGTTTGCGCAAACTAGTCACAGCAACTATTGTCGTGAATGTTTCCTAAACACGCATGATCTTGTTCCGAAATTTCCAATATAATGTTGGAATATACTGTATTGACAAAATATTCAATGGAAAAATACCCGTTTAATTACATAATTAAAAGGGATTTAAACATAATTTACTGCATTTTGTTAATTTTATACTTTTACTTTAACGTTGTACTTTTTTACTTTCTCGCACTAACTAATGTAAGAAGAGAAAGTATTGTGAAAAACGGAAAACGGCGCGTTTACGACACAAAGTCTTATTGACAGGCCTTAATAACGAAAACGTGGATAAATCAAGTTGCTAAATATAGAAAGAAATTACTCTAACACGTGGTGTAGTCAGAATCCATGTTTTGTGCGTCCTTCACACCAAAATATCGATGACAGCACAATGTACCTGTCCGTCCGATTTTTTCCAAAATTGATATTTCCCAATCGTTTGAGCTGATGTCGTGTATTCTGGAATTTGAAACCAATATTTTAATTTTGGGGGTACTTTTCTTGAAGCCCTTGGGACATTTTCAAAATTTTCAAAAAACTTGCCCCGAATGTTTTGGTTGAATTTTTTGGTTGAATAGTGAGAAGAACGTTTACGAGAATGGTGCAGGTTTCATTTCCGTTTAAATACGCGGCTTTCCAAATAAAGTAAAAAAAATATTAAAAAATTCCACTACAAAATTGAAGATAGAGAGTTTTGCCTCAGATAAGATAAAGTATGTTGTACAAAATTAGCTATTTAAAAAAGGTCATGTACAATTTTTAGAAAAAATAGTAATTTTTGCATAGTTTGCTATTGAAATCTACGATTTTTTCTCAAAACGGGCTCTAATTTTTTAAACAATTTTCTTCGTACATGTAATAAGGAACGGTAAAAAATATGGTGTTAGTCATATTTTCGGGTATTGCTCTTTCCAAAATATCCAAAGCTACTTCTAAAAAAGAAGATACAGATTTTTGCCTCAGACAAAGTCTGTTGTACAAATTTGGCTATTTAAAAAGGTAATGTACAATTTTTGTAAAATTTAGTAGTTTTTGCGTAATTTCTGTTTGAAATTAATGAAGCATATATGGAAGTTTCGTCGAACATAATGATATCATTGTGGTATTGCAAGACGTATTTGCTGTTATAGCATCATTAGTATCTCAAATATTTTCGTCCTTTTAATTGTAAAAAAAATGGCCACCTCATATATAAGGTGTGCAATGTATTCACGACCATAACCGAAGAGGTTTCAGAATATTTCTGTGTAAGCAGTCTGCGAGAAAGGAAAATAATTATAAGTTAATAAATAATAAGATACTGATAGCAAACAAATGGAAATGTGTCGACAAATATATAATAATAACTATTAAACATAATAGTATTGTAATATTCTCCAAATATAACCGTTTTAAGACAAATTACACGTTAATTCTTGTTTGAACATGAATTCAAAATGGTCCGTAAGTTTTCACCCCTAAGAAAATTTCCTCAAATTGTCTTTACTAATGATACTGTATTACTACTAATGCACTCAGAATTCAACATGTATATGGGTTAGGGTGAGGATAACAGAATTTACGAAACGTTCACAGAATACATTTCTCTCCATAATAGGTCACATTCAGTTTTTGTGTAGGGCATGGCAATGTTTAACAAAGAGACAAGAAATTCAACAGAATTTAACATTTTATGTTACTTTGTTGTCGTTCAACAATGAGCTTATGAAATATACATCGCAGCATTTTTTCCCAATGCATTGTATTTAGTAATATAAAATTACAAAGTAAAAATTAATTGTAGTCACATTACAGAAACAATACTCATATATTAACAAAATAAACACGATTTTATTCAAGGATCTGTTTTTATAAACACAATAAATTAACAAAAAAAATTGTATCTTAACAGTTGTAGTTAGTGGAATATGCCGAATTTTTTTCCGCAAAATCAGACATTTTAACGAACGTGAGATTCGCAGCATTCTCTTAAGCATCCTTTTTTCCATCTAAGGTCCCAATTTTAAAAAAAAATATATAATGTTCTGGGGTTCTTAAAAAAATATTTAAAGAAAATAAAAATTGCTTTGTTTGACCCAAAATTTTGCAAAATGTACTCATGTTTTTGAAAAATCGAACGTTATCTTATTTGAAAATATGATTCGATGAACACTAAGAAAGAAAACAAAATTAACTTCATAATTGTAGTTGTAGGAATACGCCAAACAAATTTTGAATTGGTTCAATTTTCGAAAACTCAGAGTTATTCACAAACATTAAATCTTCAACATTTTCTTAAACGTCCTTCAGACTATTCAACAAAAAAATTTCATCAAAATCAATAGGGCCGTTTTTGAGAAAAAGTATTTCAACAAAATTAAAAATTGCCTGTATTTCACACGAAATTACATAATAAATACTCAAATTTTCAAAAAAAAAATGATACATGATCTTACTTCAAAATTATCTTTAAGGAACATATTTTACTAAGGGGAAAATCTCCGGAAAAAAAGTGATTTTTTTTTTAAATCTTCGAAAAATTATTGGTGTTCAACCTACATGAGACCTGGATCACTTCTTAAACGTTCTTCAGACTATCCAACAAAATTTCCTCAAAATTGATGGCGCATTTTTTTAACATTTTGAAAATGTCCCAGAGGCTTCATGTTAAGTACTTTTCAAAATTATAATTTCGATTTTAAATTCAAGAGGCCACGACATCAGCCAGATCGATTCGATAATATTAACTTTGGAGGAAATCGGCAATTTAGGCGCTAGCGTTGTTCACAGACAGAGACACACTAACAGACGTTTTGTGGTCAATCGATTTTTCAATATCAAGGACCCAAAAAACATGGACTTTAGCTTCACCACGTGTTAGAGGATTTATTTTCTAAATTTAGCAATTGACTTTATCCACTTTTTGGTTACCAGGGCCGGGTAATAAGAGTCGAAAATTAACAGTTTTCGCGGAGCCATACGTAACTTTTTAAGAGGTTCCTTCTTAAGCGCGAGAATGTAAAAATACGAAGTTTCATCAGACGCAAAACTCTTTTCAAGGGCCAAACATGAAAAGTACTGTATCCAGGTAGTGCATATACGCATCTTTCGCGGTTCCTAAGATGAAACGAGTGTTATGACACTGTGAACTCACGTCAGTCTTAATATTTGCGTTTTTCAGATCGTCATTTTTTGGGGTCGTTCTGTAATATATGCATTCTTTAATTCTCACACGTTTGATCAGCATATTTACTGGTCTTTCAGACACGTGCTGAAACCAACAATTTCTATGCTACATTCTGATATTACAATCAATAAAAAGTGCATTTCTGCAACATAGATGAAGTTCGTAAATATCTGAGCATGTGTAGTTTGGATAAAAAAATTCACAATATATTCCAAAATTCAAAATCTTTATTAATTAGTAGAATAATTTAATATGATTCCCCGAGTCATATCAAATAATTACACTTTACAGTGAAAAGTAAAAGGACCACTAAAATAATATTTAAAACCTTGGAAACTCATTAAAATAAAGCAAAAAAGTAATTCATTTTTTCTAGTATATATAAGTTGTTTATAAACATGCTTTTCTGTACTTCCTGCTATTTTTCTTCTTATTTTCTGTGCCTCATCTTCCCAACATTTGACGTATAATATAATGTGGCAAATATTTTGATGGTTTTAATTAGATAATTGGGGTCAATACCATGGTTTGGAAATTTAACTCGAGCAATCTAAAAATTTCCTGAAGTCGCTACATATGACAATCAATAAAATGCAAAGTAAATCACAGTCTACAGTATCAAAAGAAACTGGTGAAAAAGGAAAACAACATTTTTACTTCATATCATTTAAGGGAATGTTCCGTATTTTATAAATCTCGGCAGACTTAATCACCATGTATTACTCTAAGAATTTTGAAGAGCGAGCTCTCGATGTAACGTAATAGGGGATACCACGCAGCCCTATTGTACATCTAATTTTCCTATTCTTCTCCTTCCCCACATCTGTTCAAGCAGGAACGCCACTGTGGCGAGAACTAGCCCTACAACAAAGATAATAA